CCAATACCCAACATTTTCTTGACTCTACTCTCTTCAAGGAATTTATTATTCTTCTAAAAAATTTCACATAAACCGAAATGAACAAATGTGATGCTTTACTTTTTTACGCAAAAATAATGTTAAAATTCGTGCTCCATAACTAAAAAGAAAATATTCTTTTATGATTGAAAAAGAATGTATTCTCTCTATAACATGAAAATAAAGTACTCATTTTATTGAAATGAAAGAAAATATTTTTTCTACACCATGAAAAGAAAATACTTTTTTTTCTTGAAATGAAAGAAAATACTTTTTCTATGAAAAGAAAGTACTTCTTTTGTTGAAATGAAAAAAATACCTTTTTATATCAAGTAAAAATAATACTCATTTATTGAAATGCAAAAAATTCTATCTATAACATGAAAATAAAGTATTATTAATAATATTTTTATTTAGGATGGGGGTGAGGGGATTGGGTGGGTAGGGGGTTGGTGGGGATGGGGAATTGGGTGGGGAAGGTTGAGGAGGAATTTTAGAAAATATTTTGTCTTCTCTTGATAGGGAAAACATTTTCCTCCAATTGGAGGAAAATGAGTTTACGAGGAAAAAATTTCAAAATATTTAAGCCGATCAAACATAAAATTGAAAAATATTTTCCTTCATACCAAACACACCCTAAAAGAATAAGATTGAAAAGGAAAATGAAAGCTATGTTGGAGCTGGAGATATATATATTATAGTAGTTCATTGATACCTTAGCATAATATTTAATTCCAGAATTTATAATACAAACCTCAGTGTGGATGCTCAGTTTCACTAGTTTCTATTTCTACTATATTAGAAGTGGTAGTGCACTAGGTGAAGTTGACAGGACTTCGTCGACATGCCAGCTTCAACTTTTATATTTTTTCCCTAGTATTATTACATTTGTTGTTTTAGTAAATAAAGCAACCCGAGACATTTTTAGAGTCCACTTTACAGCTCTAAAATTTACATGTTTTGTATCTTCTGAGGCTGACTCACTGTATTAACAGCACAACACGTGGACTTTAACTTTTGACAGCTGGGAGTTAACTTTGGTGATAAATGATAATCTACGTCAAAATTTATACACCCTCTGGTAAGATAAATGTTCTTCCCTCTCGTAGTTTTGTGTAGCAACGGCTTTTCTTTGTAGAAAGTAGTGAAATCAAAGAACCCAGCAGTGCACGGAACGCTGAAAGCAAGAAATTTCAGGTCAATTGATAATTCTTAAATTTCTAGATAGAAAGTTAAGAATCTTGCTGGCAACAGAGGAAATCCCAAATTTTAACTCAATATCTAACAGTAATGAAGAATTCATGGGAAGGGATATTGTAAAATTAGGATTCTTTTTAGGGAAAATTGGTAAATCGTGCTAGGGTTTGTGAATTTCAGAAATTGATAAAATTTCAAATTTCATTACTGCTAAAATGTTGGCAATATAAGAGCTTTTGCTTGGCTGAAGTTTTATAAAAATACCCTAAAGATTATGTTGTACAAGCTACTACCCACTAACTATATTAGAAGTGCAAGTTAACATGTGAGACAGGCGGCTCTTTGTCGACATCTTTGCTTGCCGAGGACATTGGTGTTTCAAAAAGAATTTTACCGTAATTGGCAGCTACTTTTACTAATAATCGCCGCTTCAGCTTTACGTTTATCCTTTTGCTTTGTATTTTTTGGTCACTTTTTCTTTGGATTTTGTATAACCTTTGCGTGTTTGTCGAAGCCAAATTTTCAGAGACGAGCTAAGGCCAAAGAATTTCGAGGCGTCTGTGTGGAATTAGCTATTGTCCTGTTGGTGCCCTCTCATCAGAAGTTAAAACAACTTCAGTAAAAAAATTCCTGGTACTCATTTCAAGACTTCTCAAGATGGATATATCTGCTATCTCACCTTAGACCAAGTATTAGGTAATTAAAACCCAAATGCTTTTTATTTCTTACATTCTTTTTCTTTTCTTAACATTTGAATATTCACGTTCTTGGTATATAGATTGTGGATATATCACTAAGCAGAGCTATAGATTTGGTTGGTTTAGCACAAAGCTGAAATTGGTGCGAAGTGTGGGAAGTCATTCTACTGGTGTTGTGACAACATTTTATGTAAGTTCAAAAAACTTTGTGCATGAAATGAAAAATCAGTACATATAAATGGGTGTAATGGGGATTTTAATTTACATTGGGTGCAGATGTGCTCGGAAGTTGAGGCAGGGCCGTTGAGAAGAGAGATAATTTTGACTTCTTGGGAAACAGAACATAATAGCTTTATCTTATTCAAAGCTAGAGCAATATTTTTGTAGACATGATTCAATTGATAAAACAAATCATATTGTATCCTCTTTTGTCTAATATTTGTTGTTGTATTTGTTTACATTTATGGTTCAGTATATTAAGGCCAGACACTTGTGCTATTTTGCCTCAATTATTCCAAAACTTCAAGGTTGCAGACTCTAAATTGTTGGAGCATAAGCAAAGATTATCTGTTTATAATCTTTTGTTGCAAATGAAAGCACTTTAGACTGCAAATTGTTGGGCCCATGTGAAGCATTGGGCAAGACTATCTAGTTCATGGAATATGCACCAACATCGTTAAAAAAAAACAAAAAAAAAAACACAAAAGCGATAAATGAATTGTAATTGCAAGAATTGACAAACATAAAATAAAAGAAAACAGTAAATTTTCTTATAAGTATTCTGCATCACTAATTATGAAGTGGGACTAGGGTCCCTATTTATAGTGGAGAGTCGTGCTTTAGTGGACCTCTGAGGTTCGGAACGTGGCTGAGAGTCCGATGGGTGGACGTTGGAGGGTTGGTAATCGGGCTGTTGGACTCATCCAAACTGGTTCGTTCTTGACGATTCATCATGTTAACTTTCGCCTGGAGCACCTCTTGAGCTAGGCGTAGGCATCATCCAAGTTGAGACTAAGGCTGGTATGCTCGATCCGAACCAAGATATTGACCACCATGCCTAAGACTAGTCAAATGTATAGTTAATCAGGACAAAGTCCGGTCCAATGGGAGCGAGTCGCTACCAATTTTCATAAGGTCACAGTCCAAAATAGGGGACCATTGGGAGTTGGGACCAAATGACGAATTTTCACATCCGACTAGACCGTTTCCATAATTGGAAAAAGCAAGATTGAATATTTGACCCGACCCATTAATTGTCCTCTAATTCAAATTGCAGCTTACCAGCAAGGCTCCTGCACTAGTGGCCATACTACTGAAAATGGCCATGATGTTGAACGAGCAAAGGAACTTAGCTTTCACAGTGTCAACAGGGCATGGCTGATTGTGCAAATTCCAGCTTCTCAGGAATCTACACCAGTCGTTCTATATACCCCATCACGGGTCAATTAGTGGCGGATTTGAATTTTTAGAACATGGGTGCACCACTAAAGAAAGAAGAAAATATAAGTGTATTAAGTGGGAATTGATCGCTAGTCCTTTGCGAAAATAATTAAGTATTGTACCAAGTACACCATTCAACCTTTGTGGAGCATGACTGCCAATACATAATATTAGGCCATTCAAAACAAAAATTACCTAAATAAAATTCCTAATTTGATAGAGGGACCATGAATTCACATGCCCAGTTGAGTGATTTTGTCATTTGTCATTTGCATGGTGTTTACCCTTGAAATCGGATAACAATTAAATTTGTAAGTAATTTTAAGGATATGTGTTTTAATTAGACAAAAAGCAATTAATGAAGTAAATAATGAATAAACATAGACAGAATAAATTCAAAGCACACGATCGAGATAGTTCCAGTCTCAATGAGATAATCGACCTAGATCCGGGCTCACCACGATTAGCACTAATGGACAAGAAAAGAAAATTATAATATATTGCTTTGGAATGCGTGTTACAATGTAGTTTTATGAGTAATCAGACCACTTTTATATAGTAGGATAGTTCCATATTAGGTACAACTCTATAAAAGGTAAAAAAAAAATCTTCTGATTAACTGATTGCCGGTATACATGCCGAGATTCCCGCCGTAATATCTGGCTGGTCACAGATATTTCGGCCTTCCATTGGTTATGCTTGATTGTCGACAATATCTTTCGAAATTGTTCGAGGCTCTGGAACTATGACCTCGGTATTCCCGAGGGCAAGCATTGTGTCTCCGGACTCTGGCTCGATGGGACTTTCGGCTCGATTCTAGTCCCTTGCCATCATATCTCGATCCAGGCTTATTTTATCGAAAGTCGAGGTGCATCATGAGCTCGGTTACACCCGTGTACGGTGTACACCTGGGTAAGAGATGGGACATATGACATTTTGCCTTTCTAGTATGCCTTTCTTCATAAATATTGCTCTAGATTTATCCCTTTTGGGCCCCTCCATATATAGCATTCAAAAATCAGAATGAGATGTCCTCTGTGGGAGAGTCTCGATGGCTTAGAAATTTGTTCGCTAGTGTTTGTTTTTTGTTTTTTGGTTCAGTAGTTTACTAGTTCGTTTTCAACTTCATGGTTATTGCTTTCGGTGACACCATCTAAAGACAGATGCTTTGGGCCTGGCCTCTTTTAGACTTGAAAATCAAATCAAAACGGTTAGTCCACTTTGGGCCTAACTCTTAAATGTGTGGGCCATCTAAGCACTAAGTTGAAACTTTTAAGAGGGGCTTGTCATTTATCTAATTCTTCTTCTTTTTTTCTTTTTTTAATTTTCCACCCGGTATTAGATATTAGGTATCCGCCTTAGGGCCGACTAAGTTCATATTCACGTCGGAAGTTCCACATTAGGGAGTAAAGCTCTCTTTAACAAATTTAACTTTATACACAGAACTCAAACCCGAGATCTTTGATAAAATATGAATGAGTACTTATCGCTCTGCCACACCCTTGTTGGTGTCATTTCTCTATTCAAAAGAGGGAGACAAGACATCCGGTACTTATAGCACGTACTACTTTTTAGTTGTGCCATATGTAGGGGTAGCAAAATGGTTAAAAGAAAACAGTTAACCACCCATATCATCCACTAAAATAATGGGTTGGATAATGAACTTTTTAAAAACGGGTCAAATATGGATAAAAATCATATTATACATTTAGAAAATGGTTAATCAAAGGATAACCAATGAGTCTAACTTTTACATTTGTAAAGCCTCAAATTGGGGGTTCCTCAAGTTAGGGAGACTTAGAATTCTCCCAAAAGTTATAAGAAGTCATAAATAATATGGTTACTCATATTATGCGCCGATTAACCCGTTTTTTATCCGTATTAAATATGAGTTGGGTCGGATAATTTATCCGTTTTTTCATTACCCGTTTTCGACCAGAACCATATCTGACCCGACCCAACCGTTTGCCGCTCCTAGGCATATGCGATAAAACGGTAATAATATCACTTAGCAATAATCATAAACCCCCTTGACTTTAAGTTTGAAAGTGAAACAACTGACGTCTTAATCTAAATAACGGCGAGCTAAGCACACTTTTTCAGACTTAGCACTGAATAATGGTCAATCGTTAAGCTGATTTTACATTATTTATTGATATGATATGAAATGGATATGTGGTTATAAATATCACCTAAACTCAGTCAATTAGCCATTCGTGTGAAGTGTAGGAAGAATATAACATGTCGTACCAAAAAAGAAAAGAATAGAACATTGACATTCTCACAGATAAAAGAAAAATGAAGGAATAAGGGAGTTGTTTTAACCAGATTGTCATTGAAAAGTTTCCTTTTTTGGTTACTGATTCGTGGTGGTTGATAAATAAATAGCCGACAGAGTTTGTAGAGAAAATTAAAAAAAGTCAAAAAACCAATTCATGAAAGAAGACCTAAACTTTGAGAAAGTCAAAAATTTCGGGGCTGAACCGCTGAACTTTAAAAAGGATTGCTATCTCTGCTTCCTAACAAGAAAATTGATGCCATATGTTTGACAAATATGGTTGTTTATCAAAAAAAAAAAAAATAAGGATTTCGGTCAAAGTTTATTTTTAGAAGAACTCGGGTTACTGATAATCAAGTTGAAATAGGAATAATTGATGTAAATAATAACTGAATAGAAAGCAAAGTAAATCAGTATATTCAAATAGTATTTCGTGTCCTTACAAATGTTCATTCCTCACCTTTTATAGCTATTTCTACGTTTTTCTCCATTCATAATGGAGTCATTATGGACAATTAATAGCATTTAATGTAACGTTATAATTGGTAATCGTAACTGATTCAATACAGATTCTATAACGTTTTCCATAATTAACGCCTATTAATTACCAATAGTACGTATTTATACCCCTTTTGTTATTTAAGTTCATTCTTCTGATGCGTCTTCTGAATATCAAGAGTTCCGAGCACCTATCCCTTCTGGTTTTCTTGGATCTTTGCTCGTGCCTGCTAAAGCTCGTGCCTCTTCAACTATTCTTCACCAACTGTCATTCCTTTACCAGTCCACGTGTCATGACATGTCACCTCATAATTAATTCGATACATAAACTTGATTTTTTCCAATACAGATAATCCCTCCACTTGCCATTTATTCATTAATAGAATATTTGGGAAGTGGATCTCATTAAAGTGGGAACTTTTACCGCCATTATACCTTCTCTGGAACTGATGCTTTATGTATCACTTCCATTTAATGCTCATGACGCGTGACATCCTCTAATTGGTTCTGCAACTTTGCAGCTTCTTTTAAGGCTTTTTTGCGGCTTCACCAATTACGAAGCGTCAGTTTTCATCATTACATCTTTTCTTTGACGGTTGCTTCTAAGTATAAATATAGCTTTCATCTTTGTCATTATCATAAAAAATTTAGAATATTCACTCTTGTTTTCTTCTTCCTCGTACTGTTATGTCTTCTTCAAACCCTAACCCTCGAAGAGTCCCCATTGTTGATGACCTTCCTCTTGCTCTTGTTAGAAGCAGAAGAGGAGGAAGACTTTGTAGCTTAGGGTCTTCATCTATATGGGGTACTTCTTTACCTCATGTGAGTTCTACTCCTCCTTCTAGAACTAGGGGTTCTCTTTCCCATAGATCTTCATCTAGAAGCAAAGATTCTAATGAACCCATTCGTGAGCCTTTGGTAGAGAAAATTGTCCCTGCTGAACTATCTTTTTACACTGATAGAGAATCGATTAAAAACCAAGTTTCTTCTATATCTTCTTTAGATTGTGTTGATATATATCCTTCTCAAATCACTGAAGGTCTGATCTCTGTTATTCGTAGGGATTGCCGTTGGAGACCTGATTTCCCTATTATAATTCCTAATGCGAACCAAAGAATTACATCTTACTTGACCGTGTTTTCTTTTGTGTATACATACCCTTTTACGTTGAACTTTAAACCCCTCATTGATCCTATTATCATTGAATTCTATCGTTTTTTCGACGATTGTTTAGGACAGATTGGCCTCATTGTGTGGAGGGTTGTTGCATGCTTAAGGCATTTAACAAATTTGGCTAATTTGCCTTTTACGTTCTTCCACTTGAACCATCTCTACTCCCCCTAAAC